CCATGAATTGGCAGATCAGCGCAAAGGCGAGAATTGATTGTGACATATTCCTCATTGAGGTCGTTTTGAGTATGTTTCAGTCTTTTGGCCATAACTTTGACTACAGGTGTCAGAATCGCGCATAAGACCCCAATCCGAAAAGCTCTTTTCGACGCGCACGCTCTCCACATCGAGCTATGCTCCATGTGGCCTTTTTTTCAACCTCAAATTCTGCCGTTTTCCCCTCCGAATCACTAGATTTAGATATTTTTTACTATTTATGGTAATATTTCGATTGCCAATTAGGAAGTCAATTTAAATCCGATTTGATTTTTTTGGAAATTGCTTATTTATTTCGAATTTCAATTTAGAGTGATTTTCGGGATTTTTCTATTTTTGGCAAAATTCGAATAAAGACGATTTTTGCTATAACAGTCTGGCTTGTGGACTGATTTTGGGGATTGTTTGATTTTATAATATTTTATTAAACCCTAGAGACTTTTTTCTCTGATTTTTTTGGACGAATTTTCTCATATGAATCATCTGTTGGAGCGCCTGCAGGATAATCATTATTCTGTCCGGCGTTACATACCTGAGCCTCGAAATTGTTGTCGAGAAGAATATTTGATGACTTGATATCCCTGTGAATGATGCGAGGATGGCCTGATTGAAGCAATAAATTTATGAGAAATCTTGCATAAGAAATTACAACGAGAATGATGTAATGATGGAATATATCATAGGAAGAGCATAGAAAACCTAGGTCTATATGTTGTTTAAACTCTAGTGTTATACTTATTCATAAATTTTATGGTTTGAAGCATATGGGACAAATAAAAGAAAGAAGAACAAGTAGATTACAGTCTTCATGGAGGTAAGCTATCCCACGAGCTGCAACTGCAGCAACCTTTACTCGTACTGCCCAGTCCATAACTGGCCGGCTTCTACCTGCAAAATTCCATAAAAGTGCATTGAATTAGAACATTACCATATGTCAAGAGAACCACAAAGAGCAGTTTTCATGTTTCTGTCCCTCGTCTTAGATTCAATGTGTAGGTGGATACTCGTATGTGTAAGTTTGAGTTGGACGAGGAGGAAGTGTCACAACTGAAGCACAGATGCTCGAGAAGTGGGTCCAAACAAGTTAATGGAAAGGAATCCTCTTACGAAACTGGTATAAAAGTCCATTTTATCAGTTGATGTTTAATCACGCATATATTTCATTCAAGCTCCTTCACATTTTGAACTCAGTCTGACATCTCATAAGCAGAGATGGTTAAGTAGACGGATGTTTCTTAAGAGTTTAAGATCAGAATAAGTCTTACCATGGAGATGGTAATGAAGGGTGTTGTTTGGGACATAATCATAGACAAGCAATCTTTGATGCTCTGATATACAGTATCCCACCAATGAAACCAAATGGCGGTGATGTACTCGGCTAATAATCTCAACTTCAGCTCTGAACTCCCTCTCCCCCTGTCCACCACCAATCTTTAGCTGCTTGACAGCCACTTCTCTACTATCTGTGAGGATACCTTTGTATACACAACCAAATCCACCTTCACCCAAAAGATTATGTTCGGAAAACCCACTTGTTGCCTGGATTAACTCTTCATATGTGAACCATGACCGGGAATTTTTTACCGCACCAGGCTCTGGTGACGAATAAAAACCGCTGTTAGAACCACTTCCCACTAGTTGATGCGGAGTCCAGGGTCTTAAAAATGCTGCATCTGCAGAGCAAGTTCCAATATCACTATACAACATTAGTTCAGTTATAGCTTGGGGGAAAATGAGAACGAAAGAAGGAACTGAAATATGCCCCAAGTAATATGTGACTTGAGAATGACATTTATAGATTTGTATGGAACTATTCACTCTGAATTTCTCCAATTTTCCCACATTAAAAAAACATAATCATTCCCTTTTTACTTTTACACAAAAAAAGAAGATAACTTCAATCTTAACAGTTGATAGATGTAGAGAGTTGGCTAAAATTCTAACAATAATCCCAATTAAGGTATTACATTCTCTACAAAATCTTTTGGCTGACTATGAGGGAAATTTTCATTTCAGATTAAGACTTCTGGAATTTTTAACCATTAAATAAGTATTGTTGAAGATTTCAAAATTAATCACATTGAATTCAGAAAATTCACAACTAACAGAAGAACATAAAAAAGCTGCTCCCCTGAGCATTGTTTCATTATTTACCTGAATTTTTAGATGAAGCAAATGGAGAAGGCTCTGTGTACCCAATTTTTAGTCCAGCCCTCTTCCTCCTTTTCTGAACAAACCACACAGCCATCGCAAGAAGACTGAGTACAATAAACCCAACAAAAATGCCTATCGCCACAGCCCCTCCAGTGCTTAAACCACTCTTCCAAGAGGATGTTGCATTGGCAGATACACCATTAGTTGACTTCGCAGTTGGTTTTTCTATCGGAATTGTTGGCAAAAGTGATGAACTTGGACTTACAATTGTTGTCGGAGTACTTGGGGTTCCTGGGGGTGACACTGTAGGTGGTGAGGAGGTTGAGGTAACCGAAGGCGGCGGGGACGATAATGTGGGTGTGGGTGTTGCGGGAGAAGTTGTGGGAGGAGAAGACTTAGATCCAGATGGTGGAGGTGTAAGTGTAGGAGGAGGTGTGGAAGAGCTTTCAGTTGGTGGTGGCGAAGGTGTAGACTTTGAGGAAGACGGCGTTGGAACATTAGCTGGGGAGGTGGGGAACTAAAAATTATCTGCGGCGGTGAAGGTGGATATTTTGAGGAAGGCGGCGTTGGTACATTATCTGGAGGAGGTGGGGAACGTAAGATTATCTGCGCTGGAGGTGGAGTTGCAACCGTTGGTGCTGGTTCAGCTTGTGGAGGAGGAGAGTCACCTGATTGCGTTGGTGGTGGTGATAAAACCGGGGAGGGTGGTAAATTATCAGCAGGTGGAGGAGATGTTAGCGGCAGTGGAGGTGGGGAAGCCGGAGGGGACGGAGGTGGAGATGAAGCTGCTGGTGGTGGTGATGGAGGAGGAGCAGTAGGGACATCTGAAGGAGGGGATTGAGGTGGTGGGGATGAAGAATTTGATGGCGGAGAGGATGCCGGGGGATCGGTAGTTTGATTTGGCTGAGATGATGTAGGGATGGCGAAGTGCTTGAGGAATCAGAGGAAGAGGTAGGAGGTGCTGGTGGTGGAGAGATATCACTAGAAGTCGGTGAAATTACAGAAGATACAATTGAACTCATATTTCTCTAAATGGTCAACACTACAATATCCCCTACAATCTCATATCCGATTTGGAACATTCTAAACATTCAAATCTCCTATTGTTCCAGAAAACTACATTTATTCATGATTTCCACAGCACAAGATAGCAAAAGTCAAGCCATTAAATGCCTATCAAAGATCTTTGGCCAGAGTACAAAGAAAACACCCTATAGAAAATGATCCAACAAACCAGTCAACTAACGCCCCTTCGTGATCTCAACAAAGACCACAAGAATGAGTTCCACTCCCAAGCAACATCCAGAATGAGAATGCAACTGTTAATAATAATCGAAATGGAGCATTACAATATGGACGAAACCTTGGAAATAAGAAAATAAAAAACATAAAGAAGCGAAGAAGCTCAAGTGTTCAGAAATGCTTACCTATATTTCCAAAAGCTGAAGAAGGAAAAAAAAAAACCACACTAGTAGATGGTGGTGTTGATTTTTTGCTAGAAAACAAAGAAAAAAAGAAAGACAGCCTTTTTCTTTGAGTGAGACCGCAAATGCTGCAAAGGGAACGTGGAGGCAACTTGGAGCCTTCAGCCTATACTCAAAATCAAGTCTTTTTCATCACATGATCGTCAAACGGCGTATCATTCTGCATATGCAACGTCTCCTTACGTTTACTGAAATAAATTCTTAATTTTTTCTAATGAGTTCTTCTTAGGAGGCTGCATTAAATAAATTTCATAAATTTAACTCTCTTACGTCTAAATGAAATTTTAATATACTCTTCATAAATAGAAAACTCTAGCCTCTTTCTTCTTTCTTTCTCCTTTTTTTTTTTATAATTTGTATCAATTTTATTGATTAATCCAATTTTTCTTCTTTAATTTTGTTTAACCGGCGACAACACCTATTTTGATGTTGTTTGTCGCCCGTCGGTTATCTTTCTTTATTTTTTAATTTCTTAATAAGAATAATTATGAATTCGTGACATGTTATATGCTTTTATGACACATTTATCTTTGCCTTTGTGACAAGTTTTTCTCTGCCTTGGTCGAGTCTTCTCTCAATGACCCTTATTCAAGTCAACGCCTCCACATAATTCAAAGTTAGATTAGAATTTCTCATGCATCCCTGACTGAAAAGTTACGCTGGAAATGAGAAAAGAGAAGCGAAAAAGGAAATTCGAGATTGAAAATGAATTTGATTTAGAATGAAATTGAGGATTGTGTTGTAAGTTTTTAAAAGTTGGGGGCCCTAAATGCAAGCGCTTGAAAAGTTCAGTGATCATATTGCAAACTTACTAACGACAGTGTAATGGCGTCAAACGGCCAGTTAAGTCGGGGACCATATTGCAAACGGACTAAATATTGGAGGATTGTATTGCAAGTTTTAAAAGTTGGGAGACCTAAATGAAAGCTTTAGAAAAGTTCAGTGACCATTACTATATTTTACCCTATTATTTATTTTATAAAAATTCAATAATTATATAAAAAATTTAATCATTAGTTATTTTTTATTTTAAAAATATATCACTTAACCGATAATATTTAAAAAATTAAATAATATTTTGGCTGTCCCTTTTTCCCATATGTATGGGGTAAGGGGGAGGTAAGATAGTAGGCTGCCCCCAACACCAGGTTGAGAGCAGCTTCCGTAGGAGACCTCCAAATTATGAAATGAAAGATCAATAGTTAAATTAAAATATCTTTAACTGATCACAGCCACGGGGTAATTTACCCTAAAAAAGGGCTAAATTTATTTAAAAGCCCAGCAGTCGGTCGTTGATCATATTTATATTCATTAAAATGACGGGAAACTCATCCAAACACATGAAATATCCAAACCACCAATTCTAAACACAAATTCATCAAAGCCTGGGCTTCGCTCTTCCTTCTCCATATTTCTCTATACCTTTTCTTATCAGTATCTTTTACTGAATTGAAGCACCCAAAGTGAAACAGGTTAATTCTTCTTCTTTATTCACTATCAGTTTTCATTATGTCTGTTTATGCACTTCTGTGTGTGTTTCATAGATTTTTGTAGGAATTTAAGTTGCAACAAAAAGCAGTGAGTTTATCTTATTAGTAACTTAAAGAACTTAAAGTTTATTCATTTTTTGGGGCATATCTTGTTTAGCTTGCTGACTTTTTCTCTTTATTTTCTGTTCTGTAGTAAGAACTACTCATTCATAATACTGGGTTGTACCTTAAGTTGGCTATGGAAAGGAAAAGTGTAGAAATCTGAATGAAATGCACCAAAACAATGAATTTTGTAAATTTCCCATTTTTTATATTATGCTCTAAAGAGAAAATTATACACAAAGATAGAATCTTTTAGATAAAGGAACTACGGGTAACAGCAAGCCTAATTCCTAAATGTTCTTTATTTTATTTATTATGAATAAATATTTTGTGCTATGTTTGTTTTAGGTCAATGTTGCATGCAATCTCTGTTCCAAATACTTGCATTTCGTATCCAAGAAGCTGGTTTTTTGGTCAAAGGAATCAAGGACCGAGAAGACTTTGTTTGTGTGCTTCGTTGCCGGATAATAATGGTGGATTTAAAGTGGAGTATACACCATGGTTGATTGTTGGATTGGGTAATCCAGGAACTAAGTACCAAGGAACTCGGCACAATGTAATGAATTACAAATTATGAAGTTGACAAATTATTTTTCTTTTCGTTTATATTCTAACTTACATTGTTGTATCTATCAGGTTGGTTTCAAAATGATTGATCAAATTTCTCGTTCGGAAGGGATTGCGTTGAATACTATACAGTCAAAAGCTCTGATTGGAATAGGTATACATTTTGTATTTGTTTTGCTCAACTCTTTTATTTGTTTATTTAGCTTTATCTGGGATTCAATCTTTTAGTCTTTCGGGTTTTGCGGTTATACTTGATGGTTTACTTGGATTTCTTTCATGATCAGTACAGGTGCCATTGGAGAAGTACCAATTTTGTTGGCAAAACCTCAGGCATACATGAATTTCAGTGGGGAATCGGTTAGTCGTACATTTTGTTTTTCTCTTTTCTCATGTTTACGCATTCACATTTAGTTTTATAAATCAAGTGTAGAAACTGTTGTACTGAAACTTACTTCTTGCCGTTAGTGCTCTTCAGTCTGATCTGTTCACCTAAACATGTATAAAATTCCATGCATGTTTGAATTGTGAATAGACATTGATAGATTGTAGTGGTTTATAGGCAACTAAATAAGCATATGCGATGTCACGATGCTGATTCAGGGTGTTTATTATGAAGATCAATAAAGAATGTGTATGGAATGCATGGCAATGTGTGCCCCTTCCTCTTGTATATATCACTTTTCTTCTCCCACATCCTTTATCATTAAATAACATTTTGGTGAATGATTTACATCTCCTTAAAACCATTTCTATCTCTAATGGTTCAGAACTTTTTATTTTTGTTAAGGTCGGTCCCCTTGTTGCTTATTATCAAGTTCCCCTACGCCACATCTTATTGGTAGGAACTCTTATAGCTGAGTTTTTTTTTGTTATTTTAGTTTTTTTGTTTAGAATACTTGTGACTTTGAGCTTTCCAATGTAGGTATATGATGAGATGAGCTTGCCGAATGGTGTTTTGAGGCTTCAGCCGAAAGGAGGACATGGCCATCATAATGGGTATGTTCCGTCGATGTTACTAGCAGCAGAATCTCTATGAGTCTCCTTTTGCATCGAGCTGGATTACTTAAAGAGGCCTTTGTTTTATATACATGAACTTGTCAAGCAGCATATGAACTTTACCTTCTATCTCGTTAACCTATATGTGTTGTCTAAGAAACTTCTTTTGATTCAAGAACTTCTCGGGAAGTATTAAACTTCATCTGTCGGTTGAGATGTCTATCCCGAGGCAATGTGCTGCTTAAGTTGTTGCTCTTTTGCCTTATTTCTTCCATGTGACGAGGAGTTGTGACTCTGCTTTGTGTAGACATTGTTTAGTTCTAAATTCTTTTCTTCGGAATCTAAGTTTGATTTCTTGGACATATCTCGGCGATTTTCAAAACAGTACTTTGCTCAATAATTTCTGCTTGAAATCATTCTGCATATTCATTGAGCTATCTTTATCTTACAGAATTGAGCAATACTAGCTCATTTTTACGTTCTTATAATAAGGATTAATTAATAAATCTTAAAGTGTGATCTTCACACCTTCCTCCCCACTCAACAAATGGTGATTCAGAAACATTGACTCTTGCTTTCTTGTTGCAGAGTGAAGAGTGTAATGGGACATTTGGATGGTAGCCGTGAGTTTCCTCGGTTGTGCATAGGTGGGCTCTTAAATCATATTGTTTTTCGCCCAACTGTGAAATATTGGCAACATAAACACGCGTGCCTTTTAAAAAAGCAAGATTTGATGCATATGATTCACGGTTCCACAATTCTAAAAGAGCTATTTATGGTTCAGGGATTGGAAACCCACCTGGTGCTATGGACATGAAAGCTTATCTTCTACAGAAGTTCAGTCCTGTGGAGCGAAATCAGGTACGTTACTACCGAATTCAACTATTCTGAAAGATTGGTTTATAGTTACCACGTCTTGTCATTCTCCTAAATTACATGTACAAGAATGATGTCTGGCTGATGGAGAAAGGGGAAGCGTGTCGGATATGGGTGTTTTGTTTTTTTATATATTTGGAGAATCATGCCTCCATATCCACATCTAAATATGCTCCATGCATGGTTACCTTAGGGAAAATGAAGATTCCTGGTAACATAGGGTATTTTTGACAGATTGATGATGCGCTGGAACAAGGAGTCGAGGCAGTAAGGACACTGGTGCTGAGTGGCTTCAGCCAAAAAATCACAAGATTCAATTTAGGGCAGAAATACAAGCACCACAAAGTTTGATCACATTACGTGCATGTATGTATGTATGAACATTTTCAATCAACCTTTTCTTTGACAAAAAAGTTCACATTTTTAGCAGCCATCTGTTCCTTTATTTTCTTTCCGCAGAACTCTTCAGAATCTGTAATGGAAATGGATATTTATTGCAGTCTTGTGTTTAAGGGAACCAGTCCCTGGTTTAGACGGACCTGTTCAAATTAGTTTAATTAAACTGATCGGTTGGATCAGATCAATAAATCTTCTAATCTTCCTTGAACCCAATTAACGTTTTGTTTCCAAAAAACAAGATGGACCCACTTCAAAATGGAAACATTATAATATAAAGCGGAATTGATGAACAAGTCGACAATTAAAGTTTGATTATATAAAAGAATGGTAAATTACATGTTTAGTATTTGGACTATCAATTTTAATCTGTTTTAGTATTTTTATTTTTATTTTAAATTATGCCTAACAATTATTTTTTATTTCATTTTAGTATTTTACCGTAATTTTATGGGTAAATTACATTCCTTCATCGAATCAATTATATTCTCACTCCTATTTTGACACTAAAATTTAAAAGTTTTCAATTTAACTATTCAATTTTTAAATTGCTCGTATTTTAATCACTTTAATTTATTTTACTAATATTTTTTGTGATATGATATTTTTTATTATTTTATAATTAAAATAAAAAAATTTTTAAAATTAAAATGATTAAATTATGAGAAATTTAAAAATTAAGTAATTAAATTATAAATAAAAATTCAACAACTATAATAAGAATGAGAAAATAATTGAGTAATAAATAATATTATTTAAAATCTTAAATCCTATCCTAAACAAAAATTAAATGATATATATATGATTTTAAAAAATAAAAATTTAAACATCGACACGAATCAAAACTATAATTCAATTACTAAATTCGTAAGTTCCTAACAACGAGACTGAAATAAAGTTTTCATTCTCAACTTACCGACAATGAAATCCAGTTCATCCATCACTCATGCTTCAAGCTCCCAACTTCACTAAAATGGCGTCCGCGGCCTTTCCCACTGTTCCATCCCCAACAAACTTCACCACCATTATTTCCCATCACAAAGAACAAACCCAGAACTGGAATGGCTTGAAATTTGTGAGAGGCAAGAAACTCTTGAAGGATCTTTGCACTTGGGGCATTGGTGGCCCTTGCAATTACTTTGTTCAAGTCTTAAACCAAACCCACCTCCTTTCTGCCATCAGGTTTCATTCTTCTCTCTCTTTCATCTTAACTTAGTGAAGTAAAAGTGGAGGAATTTATTTGCGTTTGATTCGAATGAGCGACATTTAGTAAGATTTGATTTTAACTGATATGTAATGCAGATATTGTCACGAGTTTTCCGTTCCATATTGTGATTGGCAAAGGGTCAAATTGTCTCTTTGATGATCTGGGTTTTGATGGTTGTGTGATTCTAAATCAGATCGACTTCTTAGAGAGGAATGAACCTGGAGTTTATAGGGTTGGTAGTGGTTTTCGATTTAATCACTTGGGGATTTTGAGTTGCAATGAAGGATTTACAGGTCTTGAGTTTGCAGCAGGCATCCCTGGTACTGCAGGGGGTGCTGTTTACATGAACGCTGGAGCAAACGGTCAGGTATGCCTGTAAATCTTAGCTCGGATTTGATACGGACATTATCGAGTTCGAGTTACCTAGCTGGTTCTAATTCGGAATTCAAGCTCGAGCAACACTAGTTGAGCTTGAAGTCGAACATGAAAAGGAAAAAAATAAGTCTGTCATACTTAATTCAAACTTTTGAGTTGTGAATTATGTAAGGGACTCGAATTTGGACTTGGCCTTAACTAGATCAAACCCTAATCATTAATGGATTGGTGAAATTTTTCTCGGTTGAAGAAGCTAATAAGTATCACTTGCTTTTGCAGGAGACAGCCAATTCCATTGAAAGCATAGACATTGTTACAACCGAAGGAAATTTTCAGACACTGAACAGAGTTGATCTCAGTTTCAGCTACCGATCATCACCGTTCCAAGACATGAACGACCTGGCAGCGATTGTTTCTGTTACGTTCCGACTAGAGGGATCAATGTCAGCTAGGAAAAGGCAACAAGAGCTTTTGAAGAGGTTGCGAATTGTGGCAGTGTTTAAAACCCGTGTATGAAAAGGATTGCTTACTGATAACACTTTTTTTTATTTACAGGCGAAGATCCACTCAACCTGTAAGGGAACGTAGTGCCGGCTCCGTATTTCGAAATCCGAGGAATTTGGGTGTTTCGGCCGGTGAATTGATTGAGAAAGCTGGATTGAAAGGGTGTTGCGTAGGAGGAGCAATGGTGTCCAATATTCATGCCAATTTCTTCGTTAATAATGGTGACTGCACTTCTCAAGACATGCTCAATCTCATTGCTTTGGTGAAGCAAAAATTCACAGCAAGTTTGGGGTTGAACTTGAGGAGGAAGTACTCTACTTTCATCCCTACGGGAATACTGTATCATCTGGGAAAGGTAATCGATAATGTATCTGCATTGATAATCCTGGAGAAATAAATAAGTGTTTAAGCCTGTATTGATTGAGTGATTGAAAATAAGGCTTGCATATGCACGTTGTCGCCGTTCGACCAACTCGTGCAAATAAATGTATTCGACACGTATTACGCACGTTGTTTCTTTTTACGCTTTTGGCATACTATTTTCATTTCTTTTCATTTGGTAATGGATAACGCCAATGTGTGAGTGGTAACATGATAAGATAATAAGTCTGAAATGCAGAAAGAAATGGATTCATGAAATTTGGAAAGATGCTACTTTTTATTCATATCAGTTCTCTTGTCGCTTCTTTGGAAATCCAAGAACAAAACAAAGAACTTATAGTCAATACCTCTATATGTAAAGATTAGAACATATGTCTAAACTATGAAAGTAAGAACAAAGAGAATAAACGAAAGAGAACTTCTGAAATTCATTATCTTCAAGAGTGTGTATTACAATTCTCAAGGAGAGTATTTATAGCTAGTACTATAGCTGAAACTGATGTAACTAATTTCACAACAAACTAACTGTTTCAACTGATCAGCTGTAGTGAACCAATCATCAACTGCACAATCATCATGCACAGCAGTTGCACGTGTACTTATATGTCATGCATTTACATACACTAACATTCCCCTTGCAATCTTCAACTTCAAACCTTCTTCAAACTCAGGAAGCACAAACATGATCAATGCTCATTCAAACCCAAAATGAAAAGAAAGTTCATTTATACTAACACTATAAAGGACCAAAAGAAGATTAAAAAAAAAGTCTTTGAGAGCTTAATTTAAGTACAACATTAAAATCAAATGGAATTCCCCACGAGGGAAGGAACTGAAACGTAAACAGCTTAGTAGCCTTTGGGCTTGTGGGCAATGAAACTGATGCACTGCACTTGACGGACGTTGTCGAATCCGATGATTCTAATGAAAGCAGTGGGGTATTCCTTCTTGCACTCCTCCAGCTCCGTCAACACCTGAGATGAATTGGTGCATCCGAACATAGGGAGCTTCCACATGGTCCAGTAGCGTCCGTCATAGTACCCTGGTGACCTATGGTTCTCACGGTACACAAATCCGTGCTGCATTCATCACAACATAAATATGTAAGAAAAAAAATAAGGGATGTATATGGTTGCTGTAGTGGAATAGTTTGTAGAGATTTTAGAGCTTGAAAATACATCTAATTCGAATTCCAAGCAAGGAATCCATTTAGAACGGAGAAGGTAGTCTATTTCCTTAGCCAATTGCTCGGTACTAAGATCGGGGAGGTACGAGAGAGTCTCAAACTTCTTCTTTCCTAGTGGAGGCCACACCTATACTCCAAAAAAAAGACCCAAAAAATTGATTTAATTCATGTAATTTATGTTCTAATTTAAGTGGTAATTAGCAAAAGCCACATAGTGTGACCAAGTACATGCATTGCACTCTGCCACCGTTACTTGCGATGGAAGTAATGTCGTTGTTAGCCTTCCTAGTCACTGGGAAAGCAGAGGCAGACTTGAGGCCAGTGAAGGGGGCGACCATGTTGACCTGAGCCGGGGAGGATCAGTTGACAGTGGCAATGGTTGCCAATGAGATCATTGAGGAAGCCATTGCAGATACTGCTTACTAGTAGTATATTATGGAGTTGTACAAAAGTCTCAGGAATCCCTTAGGAGTGTTAATGCCTCTGGTGCAGTAGCCTATATATAGTTATAAAATTTGGCTCTCGTTTCCTGAAGTCGCAAAATGATGAGATGGACTTGGGAGAAAAGGTGACCACTGGATTCAAAATCTGATAACATTACAACATAATGACCGCAAGAGGTGGAAACAAGTTTTGAATGGTAAACCTTCTCTTTGGCTACCTGCCACGTGGAAGAGGCACAATGATCTTATCTCATCTCATCCAATGGCAGCACAGAATTAGTGATATCTTCTTTTGGATTCAAATAAAAATGGGTACGGTCCCATTTGGAGGTTTGCCCTTGGAACAAACGTATGACCATACCTTGTTTGCTTGGCCATCCTTTCCTTTTATGTTTTACTGCCCTTATCTTCAAATTTAGTAACTTTGGTAATGAAATGTTATCTATTTCACGTGATTTTACAGGGATGAAATTGTTAGAATGAGAAGATAATACTTTTGAGCCCACTGGAGAACAAAACCCAGACATTCTTTTGGAATGCAGTACAGCTTGATTTGTTAATTCTTACACTTGCATCCTATTTTGTTTTATCTTAACATCCTATTTCACCATTGAAGAAATGATCCATGTCTCCCTGATTCCTTTCCATAGAGGAATGCATCATCATAATATCCGGTTAACAATGCATTATTATTAACTACAAAGTTGTATTTCTCTTTAATCATTACACTATTGCATTATTGCTAACTTATGGTCTGTTTTATGGTAATTTTCTCAAATATATAAGCAGTGTGGCATTATGGATCATTTGATGAACTTGAAGCATCAAGCTCTCAGCTAGAATATCTCATGTGTATCACTCAATAAATCAATGTATATTATGGTCGGCAACAGGCTTTTCTATTCTGCCTTTCATGGTTTGCATATTTGGGCCACTGCTTGCTTTCTTGTGCTCCCACGCTATGGTCCATGTACTTTACAACCCTCACTTTGTATTTGGGCTCGGCTAGCCAATTAAAGTTAATTAAGGGTTGTTTGTTTTACTTCAAAATGATTAAGTGCTAAATGATTTAAATGCTGAATGATTCAGAGGCTCTGTATGAATTAACTTTGAATGTGACATGCTGTTCGATAATGGCTCTGAATCATTCAGAATGTACTTCTGTGCTGAATCATTCAACACTGTTTTGCTGAATCAGTTAGCACTGAATCATTCAGAGGTGAGAAACAAACGCACTGAATGTTGAACGGTTCAGCATTCAGTGCCAAACAAACAACCCCTAAATTTTAATTGTAATAATAAATAACTGTCATAAAAATTATTAAGTTCTTAAAGAGTAATTACATGATTGATTATTACTTACGTGTGTTTTATTCATTTCTCCTCACTAATTTTCAAAATCATAATATATTGTCATTTTTTTATTTAATTAGGACGTGGTCACTATTAGTTAACTGTCGTTAAATATTTTTGTATAAACACATTTGGTCATTGTTATTTATATATTCTCAATTTAGTCCTACATTTAATAAATTAAAATAAATTTAATTCTCCAATCGAATGATGTCCACATGTCATTGGTATCAAGTGTCATCATTCGATGGAATGACTGACTTGATTTTAATTTATTTTAATATATTTATTTTAATTTAATATATTAAATTAAAATAAAGTTAGTCCTTCAACTGAATGGTGACATGTGGTACCGGTGACACGTGGCATCATTCGATCGGATGATTAAATTTATTTTAATTTATTCAAATTATGACTAAATTTAGAGAATATATAACTAATATGAAAACAAGTCACCTAATCTGTTAACTGTTAATTGTTAACAGCATTTAACATGTGATGATCACATCTTAATTAAATAAAAACAAGCGACTATATCTTAATTAAATAAAAACAAGTGACCATATATAGTCGTTTGAGGATGAAATCTCTGCAAAATAAAATTGCCCAGTACAGAGGGTATCGGTACTCCTAAAGGGAGTATCGGTACTACCTTTGTTTTTTTTAAATAAAATAATCGTTACTAGCCGTTGGGGCCTGATGGTATCGATACCATACCTATGGTATCGATATTACTATGTAAAGTAGTATCGGTACCCCTTTGGGTATCGGTACCATTTTTACATTCTGGAATTTGAGCAATGTTGGTAGTATCGATACTACCTAGTGACTATCGATACTTCCCTTACCTTAGGTATCGGTACCATATGAACAATATCAGTATTTTTCAAGTGGTATCGATACTGTAACAACAGTATCGATACTTCTTACACAAAAACGTATTTTGTGCTCAATTCCACTTTTAAGAACTTTGAATTATTTTTGAAAACTTTGAATAAATTCATTTTAAGTCCAAAAACATTTTACCTTAAATTGTTATATCAAAATATAGTTTAACAGATTCAGATTCAATCTCGTCTTCATATGAGGAGTGGGTAAATGAGGCAATAAAGACGATACTTGATGAACATAAGGAGAGAAGGAAACTAGAAGAAGATAATAAGGAGATGAAAATCGAGAAGAAGAAGAAGAAGAAGTATGAAGACTTATAAATCCAATGTAGCAAACGACTTATAGAGATGAATGAAAAAAGAAATAATAATATGAAAATTGAGAAGAAGAAGAAGACGATGAAAAGTTGATTTTTATGTTAAAAAAATATTTTAAATATATATATGAATTCGTGTTTAATAATGAAGTAGTTATTTTTTACTTAAAAGTTATGTATGAATAGTTAGCAATTATATATGAAAAGTTAAAAATAAAAATGATTAAGACTATTCACAAATTATCTCGTTTATTGAAGTTAAAGATAAGTACATAAATGGAGTAAAAAAAGGTACAACAGACAATATGATAACACCACAATTACGAAGGTCTAATTAGCTAGGTCGATAATTAGGAAAATATGGGCAATACTTTCTATTGTGACCTTCACCTCTATAGTGGCCACAAAGCTTTGGTAAACCTTGCTCTCGTTCGGGATCATCCATATCAGTATGAATTAAACTAGATTCAGGTTGACCCTTTAACTTCCTATGTAATTCTGGATTTCGCAACGATTCTTCAGAAATTGTTGGTGGCCAATAAGCATCGTTTAGGAGATACATAAACTCATAATTGTATATGTTACGTATAGTATGCATGCTATAACAATCATTAGCATAAGAGTATGAGTCAACATTAACATGCATATATGCAGCGACAGCGTGAGCTCATGGGTATCTAAAAAGCTTGAAATCGATCGCAATCACACCATCTTCTATTGAGATTAACAGTGTATGTGGTAGATTTGTCACCCTTATGTGGTCAAACAAGTGCTTTGTCAATGTAATCAGAATCAAGTCAGGCAAAATTATGAACAAACTTTGATGTTGCTTGTGTTTGATTTTTATTCAGTGCATTCTCCAAATCTGGAGCCCAATTTCTCCCATCGTTATCATGGCCTCTATTTGTGCACCTTTGTATGCCCAAATTTTTACCAAATCTGAAGTAAGTTTCCCTAACAATACTTTCACCGAAAATATCGAGTCTCTTTAAGCACTAAGTTGATACATTCGCCAAGATTGGTTTTCATATGGTCGTAACGTCGACTTTGATCATCCATTATATGTATATGACCATCTTTCTCGAGGTATTTCAGCTGCAAAGTTATAAACATCTTCTTTGTATCTCCTCAAATTTTCTAGCCTCGCATGAAAGTTTGGTTGCATTAAAGCATATCATGAAAAAAATTGGATTTAAGAATAATAAATGAAGAGCATAAATGAAGAACGTAGAAGTTACCCATATTAATAATCTCCTTTATGATCTTTTTGTTCTTAAATCTCGTCATAGCGTTAGAGGTAATATGACATATACAATACGTTGGATATGCGTGGGGAGACGACCACCTACTTCCCATTCTAGAAATAGTCGTTAACAATCCAAATGAACAATATGATATCATGCAAACCCCATCTTGAGTGACAATATGAGAACGCAAGTTGGAGAGAAAGAAATTTCAAGTTTAGTCTTACTCATTCTTAACAATGATAAAGGTAAAATGTTTTTATCACCATCTTATGCAACAACTATCATCAGAACGTGTTTGTATACCCTATATAGAAAAGTCTCATCCACTTGAACCATTTTTTTCCTTTAATAGATGACTTGAAATCCTAGAACAAGCCACAAAAACTCTCATTTTTAGGATAACTTCTCCATGAATTGTGGTCGCAAGATGCGTATAAGATCGTACAATGGTTCTAAGGATGAAAAATTCCATTACGTGCAACAAATGTGGTAGCTCATTATATGACTGATCCCAATCACCGTATAACAGTGTCATTACTTTCCTTTTCTCCATCCACGACTTTAAGTAAAACAAAATATAACCAAATGTATTCTAGATAGATGCCACTATCACTAAAATTGGGATCCTTGGGTTTTTTTCCCGACCAAAAGCTTCACATATGAGAATAAGAAATCAGAATCTAAATGTTTGTGGTATTGTGTCAACAAGCTCAACGTACATGTGTGTTGGCCGTTGAACCTTGACACTTCCCACAACATCTTCTGTTATAAGTATGAAACTCGTATCCTACACTTACAACCAACATTATGGTTTATACACCTAACAAAATATGTCTTTTGATCAAACTCCACCACATATAATTCAATATGGACTTTGATATGATACTATTTTACTGCTAGTTATGCATCCTTTTTAGTTTCAAACGGGTACCCAACTATCAACTTCATTGATCCAACGTCGGAGGTACCCTAGTGAGCATCACAAATATCCGACATGTTAAGAATCTCAGGATTCCTCATAGCATCGTAATTAATGTCATACATTGCAACTGGATGATGATAGTGAGGCATTTGAGGTTGATGTATTTGGGGTTAAAGGGGTGTTAATGAATTTGGAGCATTCTGCAACCCATGACCCTATGAAATCGTTGCCTTCCAGACATCACCCTCAATATCGAAACTTTATCCCTCTGAAGCAGTCTCGGTGATATTAGAATCATCATGTATTGATGTGTCATTGCCTTCCATAATTGGAACGATAGTTTCATCATCCTCGTTAAACTCAACAAGGCTTTATCGAATCGCCCAACAAGGTTATCATCTACACCACTTTCATGCAATATAGATGGTTCTAGTTCTTCAGCGGCGGGTGCTACTGTTGATGAGGTAGGAAGATTTGCTAGATTTATTGTTTCAGCATAAAACTCGATTATTTGATGATTGATGAAGTTCAATCATATTAGTAACATCGTCATCATCCTTAACTGGATTGCTCAATATGTGAGTGAAGTCTCTAAGATTGTGTATTGATAGTTCAAACATGAAACATAAGCTCTAAGTTTTGTTTTTTCAATTTTTTGCTTCATTTGGTGATGAGACACATCTACAGAGAACATCGTGTTTACAAACCTTTGTGATGTAACCACAACACCATCATTAGTTTGTATAGTTTAGCCATTGGAATGGACAAATGTGAAAAATTTGTTCTCCATTGTTTGAAAACTTTGAATAAATGATGTCAATCAAATTTCATACTTCGTACATCAAAGCTTTAACTTCATTGATTTCTAATTTTTCTGTTTTCCCCTATTAGCCTTATGGTTTGGTATTGTTATATTAATTTTCTTGTCATTCAGAATTGCATCAGTTTCCAGCAAATCCTCGTACTAATATTGTCTCGGAAATAATATGGGTGGAAATACTGAATGGGACAATACAATGATGGAATCCTTGAAGAACTTTGATCTCAACAGTCCTGAGGTCAAGCAACAATTCGGTAAGTCTGAAGCTTTGGCGCTTTGGATAAGAAACCAACTGGTTTATATCAGACCCCCTTATTATCTATATATGAGATTTTAGTTACCAGATTGTCAAATTCTCTGCCGATTGAATATGGTTTGGAACCTGAAGAAGTTTCTTTAATTTCCCATTTGCAGATCTGATTGGGCTGACACCTGAAGAAGTAATCTCCAAAATAATGGCCAATCCTGAAGTTGCTATGGCATTCCAAAACCCTAGGGTTCAAGCTGCTATCATGGAGGTATGTTCTATCTGGTTGATACGATGAATCCTCGAATGCGTTTAGAGTTTAGATGCATTCATACATTGTAAAATCTTTCGCATTTATTTTCTTGACGACGTATTGCCTTTTTCAGTGTTCCCAGAACCCACTGAGTATTGCGAAATATCAAAATGACAAGGAGTTAATCTTTTTCCTTCTTTCTATTCAATCTATGGGATTAATGGCCACCACGGAGTTCTTCCCTTTTAAACAGTTTTTCCCCTTGATGACTATATGATGTCTGCATTTATTTATCCAAAAAAAAGGCCATGTTTTTCTTCAAAAAAAATTTCATCTTACATTCATGCATAGGCCTACATGTCTATTTGTCTACTTGCAAATGGATTTACAATATGGCTGTGATTTTGTTTTTTCAATGAGCTTATTAAGATTTAATAATCAGCTTTCTGTATACGTACTGAGATTCTACCTGTGGTTCATCATATAGTTGTCTAAACTTTGCTGCCGTTTTCCGGCCCTTAATAGCAGACATCGTCTTTAAAGTTGTTTTCTTGATACCGTTTTATTGTTAACATGATTCACAGCACATTATTGTTTTGCACTTCAGGTTATGGATGTATTCAACAAAATATCCGAACTCTTCCCTGGAATGTCTGGTTCACCTTGAACCCAGTGAGTTAGTTGGATCCGGAATATCAAATCCAAAACCGAGTATGAGTTCTGAATCACTCGTTCCGATTTCTGAGTTTTGTTTCCAGAATGAAACGAGCATTAACACTCGGTTATCCCTAATGTCCACCGTTTACTGTAATCTAGATTTTTGGTAAACTGTAGTTGCAGTTGAATGCGTACACTATGTATTTGCTTTGTTGATCAGCTTGATTTAATGGTGCACTGAAAAGGGACATGAAAAGCTAAGTTAAGAAACCAAATAATAATAATAATAACTGGTTTGTAAATTATTTTTTCCCAAAAAATTGTATTCGGTCTACAAACATGTAGAGATATAATTTCCACGTCATTTATCATATTTAAAAAATCCCTAAACTTCAAAATTTATATCTAAACCCTAAAATGTATAATCCTAAACCTTAATTAAGATATATGACGATCCAGAGGAACACGGCAGCCTTTGCTAATCCATTGGAGGATGAACGACTAATCTTGGAAAGAAGTAAACACTGGACGAAGGTAATAAGCAAAGTAGACACTGGACGAAGGTAATAAGCAAAACGTTAGCGAGGGTTGCAACTCGTTCCATCTTAATGGAGCGAAACATTCCCAACAGTGTACGAGGGGTGCAACTCATTCCATCTTAATGGAGCGAAACATTCCCAACAGTGTACGGTGGCAACCACCACCAAATGAAAGGATAAAAATTAATTCTTATGGAGCTCGACACAAGGATTCCGGCAGTTCTTCATGTGGAGTGATAAGGGATAGTGAGGGAGTATGGCTGATTAGATATTCTAAATTTCTTGGAACATGCTCAGTGAGCATTAGAATCTGAACTCTCGGTACTGTAACTGAGACTGACTTGCGCATGGGAGCAGGGTAATAGACTGGCCATATTGGAAACAGAGAGCATGGAGACGATAAAGGCGGTACAGTGAGCACGTGTTGGCGAGGCTCGAATTACAATTCTGAGGTATATCGACAACCTATTAAAGCAAGAGCGAGAAGTGAAGGTAGAGCACGTTATTTCCTGTATGGCCAGAATTGCAGATAGAAACAGATTTGAATGCCTGAAGTTCGCCGATCCACCCGAAGATGCAAGAAGGTTGTTGCTCGCTGAAACTCACAATGGAGCTGAGTAGTTAATTAGTTAGTTTTCCTTTCATTCTTTACCAATAAAAAAAAGAGAAAATCGCCTCAGTGACCAAAAAAAAGTTATAATATACGATTTTAACCAACTTTTTTTGGATTTGCCAAAATGACCAACAAAATCGCAACGCGAAATAAAAATCGCAACGCGATCCCCAGAATCGCAAATCAGTTTCCAAAATCGCAACGCGATTCTTGAAAATCGCAATGCGATAGTACAAATTCGCATTGCGATTTTCCAAAATCATCGCAACGCGAATATGAAAATCGCAACGCGAACACATAAATCGCAACTCGTATCCGTAAATCACAACGTGTATCCGTAAATCGCAACGCGTATGGGTAAATCGCAATGCGTATCCGTATATCGCAACGCGTATCCGTAAATCGCAACGATAATCCGTAAATCGCAACGAGAATCTGTAAATCGCAACGATAATCCGTAAATCGCAACGAGAATCTGTAAATCACAACACTGAAATTTTGGGTATATAACACTGAAATCATAAACTAAATCCCTAAATCGCAACTCATTCCATCTCCATCTATCACTCTCTCCGGCGACATCCGTTCCTATATCCAACGACATCCTTCCCAATCCGGCAACAGGTTTTAGTTTCGCAGCTCGTCTGTTTAGTAAATTAATTTACAACCATGAAATCATCTAATGTTGATCATGTTTGGATAGATTTGTGTTTTGGAGGGTCATGGGATAATGTTCATGGTGTTTTACAATATATGCCTTTACCCATGAATCTTCAACTAAAATTGTCTTTACAAAAGTTAACTTATGAAACTCTAATGCTACGTGTTTCAAATAAATTGAATTTAGAGCCCCTAAGTGGATTTAGGCTATCTTATCAGAGAAATGGTAAAGTTTATTTGTTAACCGACAATGAAGATGTTGAACGATTCATTGCTTACATTAGGGTTTCACAAGATGATGTTACATTGTATGTTGTTGAACCTAGAAGTAGTATTGTTGGGTCAGTAGCGGGTAGTAATCAACTAAGTTTTTCTCAAAACCCACAACCTTTCTCTAATCCAAATCCTAATCAACTTTCAGCACCAAATTCCGGTTTTCGTATTGACCAGTTAGACGATGATGAGCCAACAGAAAAATTGTGAGTACTAGTCAGTATTCGAAATTTGGTCTTGGTCAATATCCGGACTTTGATATTGGTCAATACACGGATTTTGATGATGTTTCAGAAGAAGAAACAGACCATGCGTGTAATGATATTGATATTGGTCAATACCCGAATTTTGATGATGAAACAGCCGTTGCCGAAGAATGTATTGTTGATGATAATGAGGAGGAAGTTACGACTGTGAATGAACATGTTGAACATCCATTCTGTAATTCATATAATCCTGAAGAAGAAAAGAAGAAGAAAAAGTCCCCGAAGAAAAGAAAATGCCACGGGCGTATAACTGGAATATGCCAGAATTACTTCAGATACCGGAAGAAGAGTTGATAAAGAAAGCAGTTGATTGTTACACAAAAGTTATTCGTATCAAGAAAGATGATTGTTTTGATACAAAGGAAGACTTGAAGATAGCTTTATATACGAAATGTGTGGAAGATGGCTATCAACTAAAAGTTAACAAATCAAGCAAAGATCGTTTCGAAACAAGGTGTATGATTGACAAAAACTGTACGTGGCGTATGATTGCAAAGAGAATAAAAGATTGCAAAATGTTTCAAGTTAGGACTTTTATTGATAAACATACATGTTCAAGAACCCAAGTTTTTCCTCACCATAGACAGGCAAACAAAAAGGTGTTGGGGGTTTTCTGGCTGAGTTAATGTTTTTGAATGGCAGGGTATATCGGGGACATGAAATTATGACTGGCATGAATGCTCGGTTCAAGATTAGTATATCATATTCTCAAGCTTGGAGAGCCAAATGTTATGCCTTGGAATTGTTGAGGGGGTCGCCAGAAGCATCGTTTGCCCAACTGCCGGCTTATTGTCACAATTTAAAGCTGAAAAATCCTGGGTCGGTAACTCATATCAAAACAGATAGAGATGGACGCTTTGAGTTGCTGTTTATCGCCATTGGTTCTACGGTTAGTAAATCAATATAATTTTGTTGACTCATTTTGTTAGTTACATGCATTTCACATTTAAATGATTATATTTCTTGTGTATATTATTTTGTAGATTCGTTCGTTTATTACTTGCATGCGCCCAGTTATTATAGTTGACGGAGCACATTTGAAAGGTCGATACCTTGGAGTAAACTTATTAGCAGTAGCCATGGATGCTAACAATGGATATTGCCAATAGCTTACGGGGTTGGCAAATCTGAAACCTCTGATTCATGGACATGGTTTATGGGGCATCTTAGGGATTGCATAGGTCCTATTAGCAATCTGACAATCATATCCGATAGGGCAAACTCAATTGACAACGCTGTTAGAAGGTGTTTCCCAGATGCTTTTCATGGACTTTGTGGTGTTCATTTGTATAGAAATCTAAAATCAAGGTCTGCTGGTATAAAAAGCACAAATGGACATACTGGAAGGCTGTAAAAGCTTATCGGGAAGTGGATTTCAATAAGCATATAAATTGTTTAAGACGTGTTTTGCCTCAGTGTGCTCAAACACTAGAAGATGTCGGGTTTGAAAGATGGTCAAGAGTACATCAACTTGGAGCAAGATATGGTTTCATGACGTCTAATAGTGCAGAATCAATCAACGCTCTAAGTCGTCATTCCCGGAAATTACCCATTACTATGTTAATGGAGTTTTTTCGAGCCTCTATTCAACAGTGGTACTACAAGAAAAGAAACCATACATGTATTATTTCTTTGAATTCGTAACTTATCATATTTATATATTTTACTAAGTATTGTTTATTTAAACTTACAGGAACATTGGAACATCGTGTTACACCATGGACTGAAAAAAAGATAACGAAACGTGTTGTGAAGTCAACGTCATGGAGAGTTGAACCATGTTCAAACACTTTGTTTCAAGTACTGGATAATAACTTAAATGGGCTAGTCGATCTAAATGCAAAGACGTGTAGTTGTATGAAATGGCAAACATCTGGTTATCCGTGTGGCCATGTTATAAAAGTTGCTCTTCATTTAAACCAAGATGATTCAAGCGCATACGCTATGGATTGCTACACTACAGAAGTTTATCGACAGACTTATGCCGAGATTGTCTACCCTATTCCACATCCTTCTGAGTGGGACATACCAGATGACTTACAAACAGTTTTGCCACCAGCCATGGACAGAAGGCTACCTGGCCGACCAAAATGTCACGATCGTATACCGTCTAAGGGTGAAGAGAAGAAGAGATCGACATGTAGTCGGTGCAAGGAAAGTGGTCATACAAGGTTGACATGTGGATCACCAGTGCCATCAAATCATCTTTTCCTCTACCAAAATATGGATCCTCATCAAAATCCAAAGCTCATATGGTGTCAAACAAAAGGCAATCATCTTTAAAATCCCAATCACAATTGGCTTCACCTTTTGGGACTGTTAACTTAGGTGATTTTAAATGCAAACGTTGTATTATGTGGATTTTATGTGTGAACTTTTAACATTTTCAGTTGAATTAATGACTCAGGCCAACCATTTTGACTTAACCAACTCTTGTTATTCAGTTGTTATCACTATTAGGCATGCATTTGACTATCGCAACACGGAAATTACAATCGCAACGCGAAATGAAAATCCCAACATGAAAATCGCAATGCGGAAATGAAAATCGCAACGAGAGAATCGCAATGCGAAATGAAAATCGCAATGCGAAATGAAAATCGCAACGAGAGAATCGCAATGCGAAATGAAAATCGCAATGCGAAATGAAAATCGCAACGAGAGAATCGCAATGCGAAATGAAAATCGCAATGCGAAATGAAAATCGCAACGAGAGAATCGCAATGCGAAATTATAAACGCATTGCGATTCTCTCGTTGCGATTTTCATTTCGCATTGCGATTCTCTCGTTGCGATTTTCATTTCGCATTGCGATTTTCATTTCGCATTGCGATAGTCATTTTTGCCTTCAACATAATGCAGATTGAAATCAACAAAATCAACCATTACATTTCAATCAATTAAACAAGCACAAATAAGAATTATGTTCGCATCAATTACACAAATCAACTTTTACAAATCATCTTTTACAAATCAATTAAACAATCAAAAAATAAGCAATAATTCTTATTTCCGATCATCTACTATTGAATCAACTTTTACAAATCAATTAAACAATCAAAAACAATCAATTAAACTATTGAATCAACTTTTGCAGCCATACATCATTTTCACGCAGTTCACTTCTGAGATTAACCTGCAGAAACCAAACATTTGCTCAAACAACACTTTCTACACATCTAAAACCTACAAACAGCAAATTATTGAATTCTAGGTACTTAACCAAACATTTTCAAACCAAAAGTATATAAACTTACCAATTGTTTATGGACATTTTTATAACGCGGATGCAGGTAGGCAGCGTCTCGTATATATCGATTTAGCCATATAATGCCGAAACCACAAGCCTACTGCAGCTCTATCTCTATCGGTGGGAGGTAGATACTTGATGCTTCCCGTCGTCAAACGCTCCAACGCCAAGCATACGAGAGGACCACAATCTCCTCTGGCTCCGCTCGTTTGTTGTGGCGCGGGTCGTCTCTAATAACTGTAATATTGAGCTTCTTTGGCTTCTTGTTTCCAGAACGAGTCCAATAATTGATCGCATCCAAGAATTTAGCCAAATGAGAGCTCCATCCCTTAATAACATCTCTTAAATCAGCCAATGATATGTAATTTATCATGCTGTCATACACTATTGTCTTAAGGGATGGGAGCTGAAGCTCGACGAGAATCCAATGTTTACGTTCCAAAACAGGGATAAACACCTGCAATCATAAGTAATAATTCATTCATTTGCGCACTTATTTCATAAAACCTTTAAACTCAATCTAAATAAATACTAACCTTATCGACCTCCCACCATGCAGGATAAAGTTTAGCTTGTCCATTGCCCAAATCAAATGATTCATCTCGTGCATTCTTCAAGTGAACGGCGTGAAAAGACGTCGGCATAATTGTATATCGTATATTTTATTTTTCTTAAGTTTTCTTATTATTAGAAGACGTGTCACCCACGCATCGATATGCTGTTTTACAAAAAAGACATATATTAGTGACTTACATAAATTTAAAAAAAAAATTAATCAAATTGAAATATAAGAAAAATATAAGACTTACCCCCCCATCGAAATAGCCATTGTCTTCGACCCCTAATAATACGCCCCACCAAGACCGATCAAGCAACAATAGATATCATCGGTGAGCTTGCATATGTCAGTGAAACACCCCTGGCTCTACTCATGTAGATAAAAATCAACAGCGGTCTTAGCCCAAAGGGTGTTATCCAAAATTGTGTCCGGTAGTTGTTCCCTCTCCTCTTCAGATACCGGTATGGTACTGGCCGGTAACTCATACGAGAGCCAACTTGAATCCATCATGTCCGGCACGTCAGAGGGTTTCTCAAGAAGCCTACATATGAGCCATGTGAATCGGGCTCTTGAATGGTGGGAGGGACCTCTTCAATGATGACAGTGGCCTCTTGAACGGTGGGAGGGGACTCTCGAGGAATGATAGGGGGGCCTCTTCAACGATAGGAGTGGACTCTTGAGGGATGACAGGCGAGTCGGGCTTCTTCTTGCGGTGTCTTCGCACTATTGGGGTGTACGGAGACTTAATAGCACGTGCACGCTGTCTGATGCGTGAACTCCGTCGTGCAAGCATAACCCGACGTAAAGCATCCACTCTATCGGGCCGCTAAATAATTAAATACAAAAATCAGTAAATAAACAGACATGATATTTAAACAGTGAAAACAAAGACAAATATGTTTCAAACTTGCATTGTATTCACCCAAGTCATTATTCTATCATAGTTCACAAAATGCATCAGATAACAAAGAAAAATATGTTTCAAACTAATACCCTGAAGTTAGTATTTGTCTTTGTTTTGTCTATTGGTTGAAGTAATGCAATCCATTCAAGTTTCAATTTGCAGAAGAAGAAATAGTTTACTTTCGCAACACGAAACTTAAAATCGCAACGCGAAACCAAAATCGCAACGCGAAATGAAAATCGCAACGACAGAATCGCAATGCGAAATGAAAAGCGCAACGAAAGAATCGCAACGCGAAATGAAAATCGCAATGCGATTTTGGTTTCGCGTTGCGATCTTGTCGTTGCGATTTTGGTTTCGCGTTGCGATTCTGTCGTTGCGATTTTATTTCGCGTTGCGATTTTGGTTTCGCGTTGCGATTTTAAGTTTCGTGTTGCGAAAGTAAACTATTTCTTCTTCTGCAAATTGAAACTTGAATGGATTGCATTACTTCAACCAAAAGACAAAACAAAGACAAATACTATTTCACAGTGTTAAAGAATACACAGTTTAGCAGAATTGGCAGCAACCGAACAAATTTACTTTCAACCAAAAGACAAAACAAAGACAAATACTATTTCACAGTGTTAAAGAATACACAGTTTAGCAGAATTGGCAGCAACCGAACAAATTTACTTTCAACCAAAAGACAAAACAAAGACAAATACTATTTCACAGTGTTAAAGAATACACAGTTTAGCAGAATTGGCAGCAACCGAACAAATTTACTTTCAACCAAAAGACAAAACAAAGACAAATACTATTTCATAGTGTTAAAGAATACACAGTTTAGCAGAATTGGCAGCAACCGAACAAATTTACTTTCAACCAAAAGACAAAACAAAGACAAATACTATTTCACAGTGTTAAAGAATACACAGTTTAGCAGAATTGGCAGCAACCGAATAAATTTACTAAGCAATCTAAGTGAAATGGCTAATCTAAGTGAAATTACGAGTAAATTTATCATTAAGTTAAATATGGAAAATCTTAAACTTACCTCGTTGCGTAGAGTATGAACCTCATTCTGCAACGATACTATCATCTCACGTAGAGCGGCAACCTCACCACGTAAAGTTGACACCTCCACACGCCATGCACCATCGTTATCGCGTAGAGTACCGATCTCCTCACGCAAGGCATTGACCTCATCACGTAACTCCCTTGACTCATCCGTTGAGGTGGAGGTGGAGAACAGGGAGATAGGAGTCGTGGCATCTTTGCCGGTCGCCTATCATGAGGTGATGGTGGAGAAGAGGCTCGATGATGTGACGGGATAGGTGATGGCTCTCGTTCTAGAGGTGTATAGTCGGGTCGATCGGGTGATGGCTCTAGGTGAGGTGATGGCTCTCGAATTGGAGGAAGTGGATGCTGCTCATCATCCGTGCCATCAAAAAAACTCTGACTAGCTTGCCACCAATCAGTGGCAAGCTCTTCCTCCGTGGGTGTCAGTCTTTGTAATGGAATGTTGGCCTCCTAAAATAAAAACTCAAACAAAGTTAAACGTCTACTATTAATAACTTGTTTATATATTATATGAAAGTATTTGTGTTAACTTACATTATTATTGTCGCATATGGTATTAAGTCTTCCAATCCAACAGAGTTTTCCTCTTCCAGGAAATAGCCCTGGGAATATCATTTGACGTTTTTATTGCATATGTACGCATGCTGGGAAAGCCTCGAATATCCAAATCTACAAACAATATAATAACAAAATTAGTAATTGTTAAATAATTAATTATAATTTTAGAAACATTATATAGAAATTCTTACCTTAAAGGCCCAAACAAAGCCTGACAGTGTATTTGGACCCATCGCCCCGCAAACTTTTGCGGTCATCAAAGGCAGACGACAACTTAGTCCAGGTAGCTTTCCATATATACGAACCCCACGGAAACAGATTCCATGCATTCAGGTCCTCTACCAATATTATTAGCTCCCGATGAATAGGTTGTCTGGCCTCTCTGCCTAAAAAGCCGACATACACAAGTAGTAGAAGGCATACTCGGACAACATCGACGTCATCCATCCGAGTGAAACCAGCTTTCTTATTAAACAATTTCTTCAGGTCGTCGACATGTAGGTTCGGCTTCTCCATTGACTCATCCGGAAAAACCCGGGATAACCATGATGGGCGGGCGATATGACGAGTGTACCGGCCTACATCATCGTGTCCGAATCGTAGACCAGTGATTAAGCAGAACTCCTTCCGCCCAAAACAAGTATACGCTGGTGGAAAATGAAACCATATCTCTTCCTCACCACGTTGTATACTGTCGGGTAGATTTGATGTCATGGTCTGAAGCCACAAATGGGTCAAATTAGCATCTCCACCCGGATGCTGTGCTCTCAGCCATGGCCCGAAGCAGGTTTCCTCAAACAATTGTCTTTGAGCAGGTGAAAGCTTCGAAGCAATTGTAGTGGCCAGGCTGACTTTATTTCTCAAGGTCAATTGAGCCGAAAAAAATTTCTACAAAAACAATAAACATACCAAGTTAGATATACCAAAAACTACACTGTGAAGATATACCAAAAACAATAAACATAAAAAGTAGTTTATTCTTGAAACTAAAATTTGCAACACTGTTTTGTCTTTTGGTTGAAATGAAAATCGCAACGAGAGAATCGCAACGCGAAATGAAAATCGCAACGAGAGAATCGCAACGCGAAATGAAAATCGCAATGCGATTTTGGTTTCGCGTTGCGATTCTCTCGTTGCGATTTTCATTTCGCGTTGCGATTCTCTCGTTGCGATTGTCATTTCTCTCGTTGCGACAGTCATTCTCTTGTTGCGATTTTCATTTATCTCGTTGCGACTCTTCTGCAAATTGAAACTTGAATGGATTGCATTACTTCAACCAAAAGACAGAACAAAGACAAAGACAAATACTAACTTGAAAATCGCAACGAGAGAATAGCAACGCGAAATGAAAATCGCAACGACAGAATCGTAACGCGAAATGAAATCTAAGTGAAATGGTTAATCTATTATTGAAATGACCAGTAAACTTATCATCAGTTTCAATATGAAAAACCTACAATAATGCAAACATTTCAAAATAAAAATAATTAAAAAAACTAACCCTCGGAGGTTGATTTTCCATTTCTGAATATTGTGAGGGATTTCTGACCGTGAATGGTTGTGAGGGATTTCGCCGGAGATGGGGACGGAAATCTTCGGAGATGGGGACTGATTTCTTCGCCGTAGAGAGTGAGAGATGGAGATGGGACTGAGTTGTGATTTTAGGTTTTAGGTTATGAGTTGCGATTACGGGATTTTGTCTTAATATTCGTTTTTGTAATTTGAAAATAAAATACGCGTAGCGATTATAATGGCGCTTTAAATATCGCGTTGCGATTTACGGATACGCGTTGCGATTTTATGTATTATCGTTGCAATTTACCGATACGCGTTGCGATATACGGATACGCATTGCGATTTACCCATACGCGTTGCGATTTACGGATACACGTTGCGATTTACGGATACGCGTTGCGATTTATGTGTTCGCGTTGCGATTTTCATATTCGCGTTGCGATTTTGGAAAATTGCAATGCGAATTTATACTATCGCATTGCGATTTTCAAGAATCGCGTTGCGATTTTGGAAACTGATTTGCGATTCTGGGGATCGCGTTGCGATTTTTATTTCGCGTTGCGATTTTGTTGGTCATTTTGGCAAATCCAAAAAAAGTTGGTTAAAATCGTATATTATAACTTTTTTTTTGTCACTGAGGCGATTTTCTCTAAAAAAAAAAGATATATGACAACAATAGAAGCTGTTTATGAAATATTTTCTTCCAATGCCATGAAATAATTTTCCAAGCATCTATAAATATTAATACATGACGAGTTGAATATTTTTAAGCAATGCGCACATGCCACATTTCAACAATATACAACAATCGGCTCTTTGTTTCAAGCATATATCAACACAAAAGTCTATTGCCTCAAGCAAAGGCATGAATCTTGGTTGTTAGGCAAGTGATGTCTTCAACTTCAACCTAAACTCAAACCTGACTTTCTTATAGGCATCATTACTTACTCTCCAATTACGTACAACACAACTACGGACTACGTGTACACAGCAAAATAGAAAAGACTAACCTACTGTCAGTGCGATGAGAGCAACACTACTGTTACATAACTGCAAACGTTGTCAAAGGGTTTCTACGGACATTGTACTTACACAGTACTAGTATGTACATGTTCATGGTTACATCAAATGTCCATGTTATCGAATATTTCACCATCTTCGGAACACAAGCTGTCAGCAAGAAATCCATCACCCACTAAATTACTGCCAGAAACAACATTTGGGAATGAGGCGTAAAGACAATCATGGAAAGCTTGTAAAGTATCATAAATATCTTGGAAAATACACCCACCTTAAGCAGCAAAAGCTGAAACTCACTACACGCTTTAATTTTCTGTTGTAGAAGAAGAAACTGAAGGACCATCTGAAATGTAAGTCCCCCAAGTGTTAATCATGGCAGAGTAACAAACCACTTGAGATTGAACTTTTACGGAAAAAAAGGGTATTACATTGCCCCTTTCTCCAGTAAGGGATCAGCATCAGAATCTGGATTATAGCTGTAAATTTCACACTCCGAGAGATCCACAACCTGCAGAACTTTGGTATTTTAGAACCGCCACTTGCTGAAACTTGCATTTAGCCTTTAGAAATTAAGCTCACCTCGTCTAGAGCCTTGTACAAAGTTTCCAAGAGTGAACTATCCCCATACTTCTCAATCCATTCCTGTCAATGATATAAAGCAGGAAACTTAAGCACAAGGCAAATCTACTTTTGTAAGGTTACACTTATCATGACCATATGAATGCTGGCAATCCCTTGTCTCCCATGATACAACCCTACTCCTCCCCAAACAAATGACAAATGGAGAAACCCACAGGGTCAATGTGCCATATACACCTAACTAAACCGGTGAACAACATAAGTATCCACAAGGACATGAGATACATGAGGATTACAACAATAGTAACTAAGGTAAATTATTCAAGGAAATCCAATGTTAAAGTGAACAAATGAAGATAATTGTGCTAATACCTTTGACGCTTCAAGCATGTAGGTTTCAAAAATCTGTTTAAAAGTTTCCCAGCTTTCCTCTGTGAAGAACTGGTGTGCTTTAACTGCACTGCAAACCATAGATGCACATGCCATACCATAATATAAGGGAACCATATCAAAACATGCATGAATATCAGTCTAAGCACTCAATCACACAACAATGACTTCAAATAGACAAATGAACCCATATAACCAGCAGAATTATAAATGGGAAATGGAGAGATTTGAACTCTCCTACAAGAGCGACAGTTGGCTGACTGTCTGTCAAAGCCTTTTGACAACACTCCCAATGCAGAGAAAAGGAGAATTAATAGCGGGTTGCCAAGTCGCCCAATAAGCTGACAGTGGCATTACCCATAATCCTCCTCTTAAGCTTTCTTTCAAAAAGAAGAATGTGCTGATGCAACACAAGATACAGAGATACCTTAAGTCATAATCTGGATACATGTGATAGAGGGTAAGCACCAAGTAGATCAATGTCTTCCGGCTGAAATGCACATGATAAAAAGCTGGTCAAAGAAATCTGAAAGATAAACTAAACTGCCTAAACCTAAATGTAATATTTACAACCTTGATTGGCTCAACAGGAATTCAACCGGTGAGGAGTCGGTATCTGAAGATTTCCCAAGATAGTCTAGGATCTGATATTAAACAAGCACCAGAAAACCCTCATCCCTCCAATAATAACCTTCTAGACCAAAAAGGAATCAAACATATGATATGTTGATCTCAAATGTACCTCATTTTCCAGACTGAGAGACAGTCTTTTATCTGTTCCTGAGTGTTTGCCTAAAAGCAAGAAAGAAACTGAGTTTGAATAAAATTTCTCCAAATTCTTCACGACAAATTATGTACCTAAACTTACAAGAATATGCTTCAAGGCTCCCTTTGATGGTGCGTTCACCAAGGTTTATTTCTCTCAAGAAATCATTTATTCTAGAAAATTGACAAGGGATTCATGTCAGAATTCAGGTTAGAAAGAAAATAGCAACTATTATTCAATTAGGTCTTTTCAATGATTGCAAATTACCGGTCTAGAGGAGTGTATTCTAAGAACTTCATGATAATTATATTCAGACAGGTTGTTGAATCTTAACGTCACAGATGCCAAACTAAGAGGTCCTGAAGCCAAAGGTAAGCAGGATTTATACACTGAAACTGTAATGTAGAAATTAATAGTAACAATGCATGCTGACTAATGACTATCACTTAAGGGATGCACACAATCAGATTGAAACACTTAGGGATGCAATTGCAAGCAGGATAAATATTTCAATGCAAGTCACAGTCAACTGGCTAAATAAAACCGTGAACCAATAAAAACCACAATTTCTTTTCAAGTATTTGTTCTTCATTTATAAAACACGCCCTGACTGATCTTGAGCATAGACATCAATCTCTCATCTCATTATTCTGAAAAGTAATAATAATAATTCCATTTTCCAAATCTATACACCATCCCAACCCATGAATCAAGTAGAATTCGGGGGGGGGGGGGAACTTTTAAAACCTTGTTAACTTAGAATTGTTTTGTTAATTTAGATCTGGGCAATGGGCCCTTCAGGTACTATATCTCCATATTGAATTGTGTCATTGTGTTTCAAATTTAATAAATTTGCAACTATAATTCAATTTCATGGGGTTTTACATAAAAATCAACGAAATAAAACATTTTATGGAATATTTTCTTGTTATAATTGATTTTTTTGTTGATTTTCCATTTTATTATGAAACCAAGAAAACTGAAAGTATAAGGGCAACATTCTATAAATTGAAATACAATGGGAAGATTCAGCATCGAGATCTATACTATAAGATTATCCTTAATCCCCTTTTCTAAAAAACAAGCGAAGTCAGATCTAAAACAGCGAAAAGTATGGAGACCCAATTAAACCAAACCCCAATTTTAATACGAACCGAACCAAAACGAATTACAAACATAGAATCAAATAAAAAAACAGATTTTGCAAATCAAATAATAAGAGCAATCACAACGTTGAGAAAAGGCGGACCTTACCTTTCGCTAATGTCCTCCGGTTTTGAATTTGAACGATGGTTTAAGAAGATGAGAGAGTCTGGAAAAGTTCGGGTCAAATGAGAACAGCTAAGGGAGACAGAAATAAATTGATGAATTTATATGGGTAATATACATACAGGTACTTGAACTTGGTTTCAATGGTCAATTTGGTAACTAAGATTTTCCAATTATGTGTGTGAACTTAGTCTCAAATTTTAATTTTATAACTAAGTTTTTTTTGTCCAAATAAGTACTTGAATTTGATTTTTTTAGTTCAAATTGGCACCTGAATTTGTCTTCATAATTCAAATAAATCATTTATGGTAAGGACCGTTTTCATTTCCATGTCAATATATAATTTATCCACTAAAATTCCATGTCATAAAATATGCTAATTGACCAAAACAAGGGCTTTTACGAATAAACATTAAAGACGAAGGGCTTATTTAAATACTCTACAAAAATACTTTAAGGGCTTATTTAAATAAGCACTTATAGTTTAAGGGTTTTTTAATACATAAGTCAAAAATTAGTTTTTTTGAAGGGAATTTTAAAATAACTTTCCTAATTTTAGGGGGTCAAGGTAGAATTATACCTTGAATTAATTCAAATTTTTATTACTTTAAAGGGATTTCAAAGCTATTTTTCCAATTCCGGGGAGCATGACCACTGCCTTCCATCTTATACCATGAGTGTTTTCCTTGGAGCTAATATTAAATTTCAATTGAGCAAATATAAATAGCAATTGGATAGGGTTATAATTTAATTGTTAAGTAATAAATTCAAATTAAAAAATTAAAAGGTTAACTTGTCTACTTTCAAAACTAAGAAAGATCTGAAAAGTAATTTGACCCAAGAAATTGGAGAGTCAAGGATCAATTTGCTTAATTTCAAAGCTAATGGGACCTAAAATGCAATAAAACTCCAAAACTTAATTTATGTATTTTCAATCTAAGGGCCATGATACAACGGGCTTTTTAAAAAAAAAATCTTCTGCAAATACTTGCGGCTTTATTGTGTAAGATATCTTGGTGGGATTAATAATTAAGAGTAATTATTCGATTGAGTTAAATAAAAATATTATAAGTTATTCGAGCTGATGCGTTTTATTTTATAATTCATAATTGATTTAAAAAAATTTCAAGTCAAAACACACACGCAATTCTCACGCTAATAAAAAAACCATAGAAATTCTACAACAAACAAACAGAAGGTATGAAAGGAGAGTGGAATGGCCAGCAGACAAATCTCCATACTTGGACCCTTATGCATTTGGATATTGAAGTCTTGTTCAAACAATTCTTATCGTCGGGTCGTTGAGAACGGACACAGATTTTATATTAGGAAGTGAATTTGAACTTAGAGAAACGAATTTAAATTTATAAAATTCTAGCAGTTGAAAAGTGATTTTCAATATAAAATACAAGGAGAAAATCTAAAATATATGATAATTTTCAGGGGACGACTATCCCATCCCGCCCATCGATCCATACCTGCTTATCATCCAATGCTTCAAATCCAATGGCATTAATAATTATCTGCACGATAACATATTTGAGAACGAAGTATTTCTTGGACTTTTTTTAGTGAGTTTCAGAAAATTCGATTCGATAAAAAATATAAATATTTTATATTAATTTTATTACGAATGACAATTGATAATGAACAACGATTAATCAACGATCGTGATAGATGGAGTTGGAGATTTTTTATAAAAAGATAATTGAAAATAAACAAGCATATTATCACATCATTAACACTTTAATAACTTAATAAAAGATTTAATAAAAGTTTAGTGTTAAAACTAAAATATTTTTAAATTTAATAATCAAAATCAATAAAAATGTTTATAAAATAATTTACCCTTAATTTTATTTACAGATTACTTGATGGGTTCTTCGTCTTTGTTGGTTTAATTCCGATGAAGCGGTGATGTTTAACAATCATGTCCGACATATAACAACAATTCCCCATCACATTTACAAGCAGTTTGCATAATTGCATGTGTAATTCCTTGTGTTTTAAACGAGAATTAAGCCATAAGAACAAAACAACATTTCATACAAAACTATAGAAAGAGGACATGTGTTTGAATTCCCAAAATCCATGGCATCTCCAGCATTCTCCGATGCAAACAGTAAGGGCTTAAACTCTTCTTCTTCCTTTTCAAATCCTTCCTCCAAACCTTATGGAGAAAAGGGTACATGAAAACTGGTTTTATGGAACGAAACAAATAAGAAAAAACAAGTTCAACTGACTTACCCTACATGAAACAAACCAGGTAATAGTTTGTTTTCCTTCCTTTTTCCACCCTTTTTAAAGGCAGATAAGGACGAGATCCTTCAAAACTTGGGAATTTGCATCATTCTAAACCCCAAAAGGAAAGGCAGATAAGGAATCCCCCCATTAAAAATAATGGATACCAGGAGCTTCTTGACAAATAGGTTCAATGTGAAATGAAGTTCGCACTAGTGTTAATATGGTGTTGTCTTGCTGAAGGGATCCTGCAATTACCAAAGAAATTAGAAAGGGAAGTGATGATTGAGTAGTTTTAATGTAGACACTTTGAATATAGATTAAATGTGATATGAAATTACCAGGCGATTCTTTTATCTTTTATGGAAAGCCGAAGATCACCCTTGCGGATCATCACCAGTCAAGTTTTTTGATCGGAGTTCGACGGCCTTCAGGTCTCGGAGATGTTGCAGGATTTCTTGGAGTAGATCCATCCCTTTGTCGCCTTTCTTTATGGAGCTCATGCAGTTCTTGAGGAATTCCTTGTCTTCTTCAAGAGCCTGTAACCTCTCGTAAACACGATCCACCTCTTCTTCAATTGCTAGTTTTTTGTGATCCAACTCCAATTCTGGACCTGCATATGCCTGCATTTCGACTGGTTCCAAACCCGATTCTCCTTGTTTTTCGTATATCGATCCTTCTTCATTATCCTCTGCATCCAGGAAAGGAAGGAGACTCTTTGCCATGGCAGCCATTGTTGTGCCATGGAAGCCATTATCTGTCCCATTACCTTCTTTGCTGCTCAGTTCATTACTGTCATCAAAACCATTAAACGAATCCTTTATTGATTTCAAATCCTCCATGAATTGATCATCCCCCATGGTTAATAACTTGTCTTCCAATGCCTTGAGCTGATCTAGGATGGACAGTCTCTCTTCCTCGAATTCGGTCAACGATTCATCGAGTGCACTTACATGGTTTAAACAATCCAGTGCCATTTCTTGGTTGCTTTCTTGGTTGCCAGAGAAGCTGCTGTCCTCATACTTGGCCTCACGGTTTAGGTCTAACGATATCTCATCGCTATCCTCCACATAGCTGCATGCAGCCGAAATTTTCCTACTTTCCGAATTTCCATCTTTGCTTAGCCTCATTGTCCTCATCCTTTCGTCGGTCTCGTAATCTAGAACCTTCTTTCGATAAAACTCCAATTCTTTCTCGAGTTCTTCATTCTCTTTCTCTCGTTTGATCATAAGCTCGTTTAGTAATTGAAGGGCCTCTTGGTCGTATTCCGATTGTTCTTCCATCATCCTCTGGTATTGCAATGCTTCCATCTGCATCGCCGCCTTCTCCTCTTGAAGCCTTGTTATCATAGCCATTGTCTGATTCGCAGCGATTGCCGAGGCACTCCTCTCTTCTTCAAGCTCTGCATATAAAGCACTCATTGCCTTTCTTTCAACTTTCAAGGAGGTTTTCAGCCTTTCAATGGTTTGAATCAGATCACCACTTTCCATCTCACTTAGTAAAGACTCCTCGATACCCGATTCACTTTTCTCGAAGAATTGCAGTTTCTTGTGCAAGTAATGCATAACTTCATGTGATGAAGTTGGAGTCTCGGGAAAAATTTCCTCCTCTGCTTCGTTGTTATGATTCGTTGGAACCAATAACCGAGCATCTATCCTCTCTCGATCGTCATCCATTGTGCTCTTCTCTTCATTGACACCTAGTGTCACACCAAGAATGGCTGCAGAACATATGTTACAAACATACATATTTACCATTCACAAGATCAAATGCTTGACCACAGTAATTAAGATAATAAGTACAGGCTTACCAACATTATGAATCTTGCTCGACTCAGGAGCATCAACACCTTTAGATTGAATCTGAAACTTTGAAAAGCTTTCTTCTTGCAAGCTTTGCAATGAAGGATCTGACCCTTGAACTTGAGGCAGATCAGAGTCTATAGTGCTTAGCAATGTCGTCTCGGATTTCGATGGCTCGGCCATTATATTAAGACCATCTTTGTCTAGTTGATTAGATCCTATAAATGAACACATTTAGTGGGGGTGGGGAAATACCTGTAACTTATAAGTACAATAAATCATGATAAGCAAATTAACTGTATAAAATTTTCATACCTATCTCCAGACTTTCGGTTTGGCTGGGACTGGTATTCTCTGCACTCTCAACAATAGCAAGCAATGGTGTCTCTTCAATCGAAGAATCAGTGTCGGTATCGTGCTGCTTTTCAGAGAAATAGTTTGAAGATGTCGATAAATCAACTAATTCAACAGGAACTAAACGATCCGAAACACATTTCTGATGATGCTGATCAATGAACTGCAGCATATAATCTCCTGCAAAACAAGGTACAGCGGTTCCACTTGTAATACTACCAAGATGCTTCTCTGCAACGTTCATGGTGTCTGATTTGTCATCTTCATGGACATCCTTTTCAACATCAGAAAGCACCTGTTGTTCAACCGTAGCCCTTTGATCGTTCCCGTCATCATCATCATCCTGGTCGTTGAGTTTAATCTCGATCATATCCTCACCGTCTTTGGACTGATCATCACTTTCACTGCCATCACCATCGTCTTCAATCGCTTCAATAATCAAACTCCCTTTGTCTGCATAATCCAAAGCACCCCAACTAGGCTTGAACAAGAAATAAGGAGGACGGAGCTTGCTGCTGCCATTGCAACAAGAACAAGGAACAACGTTACCGCCATCGTCGACTTTGTGATCGCTACTCACCCAAGAAATGAAAGCAATCCCCCTCGTCATTCCTTTTCCATCACTAGGACTTGGCCTAGAAGCCAAGCATTCCTCGCACATAAGATGCGTCTCCGCTAGTTTCCCATGACTCGAACAGTAACTCAATCTCGAAATCTCCGAACCATGTTTGTCACAGACAAGATCCCGGTAAGAGCTCGAGTTGTTGTTGTTGTTGTCGGGTTCCAGGGCATGATCCAGTCTAGAACACCAGGGACACGGTGGTTTAAGGCCAAAATAATTGGCGAACTTTGTAATCAAGTAAGTGAACAAAGAGTTGAGTAAAAGGAGGAAGATGAGGACCCATTCAAGCAGTGCGTAGACTAAAATGACGATGATTTTGCTGGTGTGTTTATGCAAAAAACTTGCGAACTTGTTGCCAGCGGCCATGGGGTGGTTGCTATTGTCTTATTGCTATTAACTGAAACACAAAATCAGATGAAAAGAAAAAGAGAATAAAAAAACAAAACATAAACATGTTTGCTAAGGGTTCGAGTCTTTTTTTGCTATTGTCATTTTTCTTATACATTTTAGCAGGTACACTACACTACCAACTAAATTAAGACAGTGTATAAACAATTGTATTTGTTATGTCTGAAGTGTAAACTCCGAAGAGAGAAGAGTGAGATGATAAAAGCAAAGAGTGGGTGAGGGCCCACTTACATTTGATTTAGGCAGAGCATCACGCGCAAAATATGGCCCACCATCCTCCGCATGTGAGTAGGGTGTGCGGGCCATTTTCATGTATTATTAGCTGTTGGCCCACAACAATTACTTTTCCCCTTAGACAGGCAAGCGCTCTTCAACATTGAAATTTTTTAAGGGGAGAATGCCAACCTATTCAACCATAATTGGCTCCATTGATTTCTATTATTTTTTTATTAATTTAGGATAAATATAAAATAACATACGTTTAAAGGTAATTCTCAATTATTTGACATTAAACGCTTACCCTCTTGATATTCTTAATGCTCAAACTCGTTATCTTAAGAAATAACAATAATTCTTTTACCACTGAGATCGCTTGGTTTGTGTTAATTTCTATTACGTTAAAATTAGGAAAATAGAATATAATTTATTTATAAACTTAATTTGGACAAAATATTTATAAGATTTATGATCATGGATGGATATAAAATTTTTCATTATATATGTAAATTTTAAAACTTATATTAAAAAATTAAATTTTTAAATTTTTAAAATTTTATAAATAATAAATTAAATCATTAATAGAAAATATAACCACACCCCAATATCCCTTCTAAACTTATTTATAATACTCAATGTCCAAATTCAATAAGCATGGAAGATATAGTTTTATGAAACTCTCCAACTTTTTGGACATCTTTTATGCTTTCGCCTTTATTTTGTGCGACCTTATCGATGTAAAGGAAACGTCCACACCTTTGGCTAATACCAGATCTTCTTTTAATACGTTAATCTTGCTTCATGAGACTTAGGTCAATTTGATATAGATTTTTTTGAAGAATGACTTTTAAAAGTTTTGTAAAAACGAAATTTTAAAAATGTTATATAGAAATATAATTTAAAATTTAATTTTTTGGAATTGATGTTAAAAATCAATTTAAAAAGATAAAATATTCATTATATACGTTATGTTGTAAATTAAAAATATAACATTTAAATTATATTTACATTTATATACGAATCATCAATTTAAACTATAATAAATTCAAAAAAAATTATTATTATATGGATGATATCAATTTAAATATAATAAAAATATAAATAAAAATATATTTTATATAACTCATTATTAATATTTTAATATATAAATTTTGAATTTTATTTATTTTTAAATAATTAAAATAAATTATTAAAAGTAATAAACTTTTAAGGATTTTAGTATTAAATTATTAAAATAAAATATAAACACATAATTGAGTGTAGCCCATGTATTAGTAAGGGTAAAATTATAATTTGCTTTAAAATGCAAAGTTTAAAATGAAAAAGTTAAAAATCTTAACTTTTGCGATTTGTTTAAAATCATCATTTTTATTTCAAAATTTTTAAATTTTTTATCTGTTTGACATTAGTTTTATGATCGAACATTTTAATTAAAACTGTTTTACCAAACGGATCCTTAGTTTTACCCGTGTCTAATTCGTGAATTTTGAAACGTGTGTAACAACAACTTAATGGGTACTTATTTTGGATTTACTTGTTTTGATTGATTAATTATATTTTACGAATACACGTTTATTTGAATTTAAAGAAGAAAATTTGTAACAAACCCTAAAACTTTTCAAGGAAAAAAAGGGGTTGGCATAGTGTAAAGGTGTTAACAGTGGGATTAGTTATAAAGAAAAAGCTTGGGATTCTATTTGGTTTTATAATTAAAGCGCAAGTGCAGGGAATGATGTGTCAAACAGTGGCAGACACTATGGGAACCCTAAAAGAACAAAGAAGATTAAAGTGGAAAAAATTATGGGACTTTGATCATATAATACATCCACCGTATAATTTCTCTAACTAGGTTTATTATTGGTCTGAAGGCGCTGTGCACTCCTGAGATATTCTCAATTTGTCTGAAGACGTCATGTAGTCGTAAAATCTTTTTCATTTACCTGAAGACATCATGCAATCGTGAAATCTTCATATTTAATTTAAAGAAGCGTAGAGCACGTGCCATCTTAAAATTGATATTGTTTAACTCACCCTAAATAAAAAAATAATCCCCAAAAAAATATTATATTAAGAATTAAAAAAACCTCACTTACATTATCTTAATCATTTTACCGAAATTTGATGGTGACATGAGAACCCCTTCCTTTTCATTTTTTATGGTACAAGATGATGTTGCTGTCATGGTCCCTGTCTTTTGCTTTCTTCTTCTCCCCCTTTTTGGCCCAAAATTGTTTCTTTAATTAACAAATCGTATTCGATCAAATTAATAAGACAAAATAAAAAATTATGTGAACCATTCTAATATCAGGAACCGAGTAGAAAAACCAACGATTCAATCGGTTTTGTCTTTCTTTAATTATTTTTTAAAATTTTTATTTGATTATTATTTGAGTAATGATTTAATTAATTTAATTAGCTGATCCTATTCTCATATGTAATGGGATAAGGGGTACGGTAGTAGCCTACCCCCAACGCCAGGCTGAGAGCAGCTTCCGTGGAAGACCTCCGTTATGAAATGCCCTCAGTAAAACTCGATCTCACGACCACAAGGTTAATTAATTGAATTGATTAAATAAATAAATTAGTGATTTAACTAATTCAAGCATAGATTCTATCTTTCTTAATCATTTTATTTGAAAATTTATTTTTGGATTTGAAAATCACTTTATATTTGTCGTGTAATTAAAATCAAATTTCACATTAACCGACGTAATCATAAGATTTTAACAAAGTTAACATTGGGACTAAAGTTTCCAACTGTAAAGGAGATTTGATTTGATCGAAATAGTCTAAAAGATTACATATCTAAATTGCGGGAATTTGAGCTATTCCATGAGTGCTACCTTATAAGCAATGAGACGAGCTTTGCACATTGCCTCCAATGGCAACACCTTAGGCATTGTGGTTCCAAACCTTGTGCCATATCGATTTCTACCCCCACTAACCCTTTCTGATATGATCTTATCTAGCATCAATTTTCTCCTTGACTTGATCACATCATTGAAATTCACCAAGATTGATTCTAAGAGAATACTACCTTCATATTTTATTTGCTCGTTCATTCATTATATCTTATCATATGTTTACATTTATATCCTAAGATATGTTTATCATATGATCATCATTCGTTATGTTATATGATATGCATACTATACGGTTGTCATGCGTGACATATGTTACCACATCTTTATTTAACTTAATTCATGCATTTTCCATGTTACACATTGTTAATCTAGCTTATCATATCATTTGTACTTATATCTTATGCGTACAAAAAGCATTCATTACATTTCCTAGCTCATTTATATATAATTCATTGTTTTCATCCTTTACTTAGGTGCATTGGAAGCTAAAGTAAGCTATGGAAGCTCAGGGACAAAGAATATAAGCTATAGCAACTCATATTTGTTCATGGACGTGTAATGTAACATCCCAAAATAAGGGATAGTGACTAAAATGTAAGTTTTGAAATTTTGAGGTCTAATTTTGAAAAAAAATAAAAAGTTTGGGGGACTTATTTGGGAATAATTTGTGAAGGATTATTAGTAAATATTAAATGAAGTAAAGGGTAAATTGATCTTTTCACAAGAAAGATTTTTATCTTTATTCTATGGGATATAAAACACGTGGAATTGTGTAGGAAAAAGAAAGATTTCTCCAGAGAACTCTTCTTCTTCTTCTCCAGCCGTGAGTGACCATAGCTAAGGTAAGCTGGTCTCAAGCTGGTTAATTTTTTCGTTTTAAAGTTTTTTTTGATTCTTGGAGTGATGGAAAAGCTTAAGATTGCTTTAAACTCAAAGAGGATTAAGTTATGTAAGATTGAAGGTAAAGAGTTTTTAAAGGAATTATTGAGATAGAGTTAGTAAATAAGTTTTGCAGTGAAATTTGACTTGTCAAGGATCTAACTAAGAAATTCGGAGTGTTAGAAATGAATTTGGAACATGTTGATTTATTGGCTTGATTATTGAATTCAAGTGTGTATGTAGGATACTGGATATTAGGATGAATTAAAGTGATATAAGTTGATTTGAATAAGTATAGTTAAGTCTCAAGGGTTAAAAGGAGGTTATGGAAGAAGAATTAAGTGAGTTTGGTAAGATTTTCGGGCTAAAGAAGTGTATTATGGGCTAGGGGTGTGATACTTCAAAGAGAAAATAAGTGATTATTAAGGTATGAGTATCGATATTGGTTGAATGAGTATTGATACCCTAAGGTAGAAATTTATGAATTGTTCATGGGGTATCGATACCTGGGAAGGTAGTATCGATACCAAGAGTACCGATACCATAAGGTCAGTATCGATACTCATTTTCAAAATAAGGATTTCAAATGTTAAAAGGGTATCGATACCCAAGCTTGGTATTGATACCATAGTTAGGGAAGTATCAGTACCATTCATGGGGGTACCGATACTACTCAAAGTGGAAATTGTATTAAGCCTTTCTTTTGGTCTAAGAAATTATCGAATCATGAGAATTGGAATGTTGATATGTATATTATATGTATGATTGTGTAGATATCGATTGAGAGCAAAGTCCGGATAAGTCGACAAGTATTAGGCATCGAGAAAAAGATAAGAGAACGGTATTAACTGGTGAGGCCAGGTGAGTGCTTATTATTAGGAATATTGATACATGGAAAGTAGACTTATGATAAGTTTATTTTCACGATTTTGAATATAGAAATGGATGAATTAAAGTATAGTTATGACTAGGTAATTATATGAATGTGCATGATATGTATTATATGTTATGTGATATGTATATGTTATATATTTTTTTATATGATGATGATCTATGTGTCTATATGAATATATGATAAAATCCATGTGATATAATGAATGTGAAA